TTTCAATTTGCATTTTTGAGGTCTATCAAACAGTATATATCATTTCTTGGTTTCATATTGATCCATTTCTTGGCTTCCCGCATGTTTCTAGGAATGATATGAAATCGAGTAAAGCTTCTGGAATATAATTCTATGAAAATCATAAGATAAACCATTCTGATCATTCCCACATTGATTTCAATTTAAGAGCCACTGATAGACAGCTGTTTCAACCTATTGGCCATCATCAATACCGGGTAGGCGGTCCTCTCTTGACGATCAAATTTGAATAACCAAGAAAATTACTTGATGAATATAAGTGCGTGAACGCAAGCGAGACATAAGTGGAACCACCTATTGGTGTGACACCCAAGTTAACTTGCCAAGTTTTTATGTCAGTGTTGGTGGTTTTACCAATATTACAGCTGCTTGACTGCGTTAACCTTTCTCGATTTCATATAATTTCTAGAAACATGTGGATTTGTTTTCCGATGACATTCCAGGATAGATTTCCAAATTTCCAAATGTTTCAATCAATCCATACATAATGTAAAGCTTATATGTTCATGTTGTTTTTTACCAAGAGTCTTTGTCGTTTGGAATATGTTATGATAAATATCGCGGCAAGTGAAAGGGATCACTAACCTCACTTTCGTAAGTGTTACACGTTTCTCAATTTGTCAATTGAGCCAATGAAGACTCGAAAGCTACAACAGAAAAAAGAGTTCACTTATTTTACCATCCACTCATTGACTGCATACCCGAAAATTACAAAAGAATTNGTAATCCTGTATCACATCGCGTCGTGCGTTCATAAGGTTTGTTTTTGACTATTTTACGTACAGTTGAGAATGGAATTTCGGTCAGATCTCGAAACAAACTATTATAATAGTAAAGTACTATTCTGATCACTCCCATATTGATTTCAGTCTAAGAGCCACCGATAGACAGCTGTTTCAGCCCATTAGACATCGTCAGTATCGGGCAGATGAACCTTGATTGAAGACAAAATGTGAATAACCAAGAAAAGTACTTGGTAAAAATAACTGCATAAACGCAAGCGAGACATAAGTGGAATCACCTATTGGTGTGGTATCCAAGTCAATATGGGAGTGATCAGAATAGTACTTATCTATTTATCTTATGATTTCCATGGAATTATTTTCCAGCAGCTTGACTGCATTACCCATTGTTGATTTCATAGCATTTCCAGAAACATGTGGATTCGTTTTCCGATGGCATTCCAGAATAGCTTCCCAAATTTCTGCTACCGCAGTTGTCGGTTGATTAGTCAAACTACCAACACTGACATAAAAACTTGGCAAGTTGACAACTCGGCCATAAACCCTAACAACCGTGTATTTTTGAAAAGCAATCTGCCCATGAAATGCAATCAAGTGAAAAACATAAGTTTGGTCTGTCACAAATTTATTGGACACCCTTTATATTAGTAATAGTTATCGAAACATAGCTTTTAATAATATCAACATTTGTTGTGGCGCTTCCGTTGATTTTCATAATATAGGTATTAATTTTACGTTTAGTGTAGCATCTGTGTGTATTTAGTAAGAGGTCATTTACTAAAGTCTAGTTAATCTTAAATTTTCAGGTAAAACTTTCCGATTCAATTCATTCAACAAGAACTTTCAACTTATAGAGTCACCTTTGGCGTGATTCTAAAATTCATTGAATTGGCATTATATTTTATGGAGTTGGGGATTATTTTGCCTAAGTAAGGAGCACAAAAGAATAAACAGGTTATCAGACGTTGCATTTGAAAGATCATTTGTTCAGATTATTTACCGGGAAATCCCACATAATTGCTGAGTAGACATAAAATTTATGACGTGTATATTACGTTGTAATAGTTGCCTGAAGGAGATGCTTCTGAGACAAATTACAACAATGGTTTGATAATGAATAATTTCAGAACACTTACGAAATTGAAATCACCACATCATTAAAGTGAGCGATTGGAAAATTTATTGTACTATTCCTTGAGAAATATCATACATGAATAATATGTTTATTTTCAACAGGTTTACAAAGACTGGGATGAATTGGTTCCTCTCTTTCTATTGGCATACAGGAGCTCTCAACATATCGCGATAGGTTACACACCATCCATGTTGTTAACTGGTAGGGAAGTGAAGCTTCCGATAGATGTATTGTGTGACAGTCCTTTCGATGAATCTCAAGAGGTACATCTTTCAGAGTATTTGAATGACCTGAAGGAGAGACTGGAAATTGTACACGAATTTTCCAGAACTAAATTACAGCTTTCCAGCGACAGGATGAAGATAATATTAAAAAAAAGTCGCTGCCAGTGAGCTTCAAGGAGGGCGATGCAGTGTGGCTCTACCAACCCCAACGTCGGAACGATTTGTATCCGAAGTTGCAGAGACCATGGCAAGGACCTTACTTGGTGACCAAAAAGATAAACAATCTGATGTACAGAATCCAATTGTCACTCAGAAGCAAGCCTAAAATTGTTTACATAGAGAGACTAAGTACTTACATGGATCGTGATGTCCGCTCTTGAAATGTTGTTCGGAGCGAACAACCTTAGGGAAGGGAGTAGTGTTATAAATCTTGCCCTGAAAAAAATAACGCCGGCCGCCACTGGTAGCCATAAACCAATTGTGACGTGGCGAAGAGCGCGCTCAGTTTAACTGACATTTCGCGGATATTTTACCGAGTTCGATGGAATTCCGGTGAATTTTCTACCATCTTCTATCACGATATATAAACGCTAGCCACGAGCATATCGTGACAGTCAAGTGGAAGTTACAGTGCGGTACGCGAAGCGATCTAGTAAGGCCATAGACATTCGATTAATAGTTGAAGTTTTAGTTGAAGTGAAATAAAGTTGAGTTTGATTATTTATTGTTCAGTGTAGTCAATTATTGGTCAACATACGGGGAAAAACGTAACAATATTTTCTGTTAGGACTGAAGGTTATATTATTGTTGAGTATTCTATTCGCGAAACCAATCGAATTTATCAGAATCATTGAAAACTTCTAGTTTGCATAAAATATTTAGATTTTTGAAAGATATTAACATCCCAATCTCTTTTATATCATCAGTTGACTATATTTTTTTATTGACAATCAGTTCTTATGTTTGGAACGGATTCGATATTTGATTGGAGATGTTTTGAGGCATATGAGTACATAAATTGTCTTTTCTAACCGAGTAAACTTAAGGATTATCATAAAAGATCTTTGTAAAGCATTTTGTTTTTTTTCTACACTAAATGAGACCTAATATATTAAATCAAATTACTCACATTATGGAAGATTTAAAAATAATTGTATAACTACAAAAACATTGCAGATGAAGGGAATACCAGTTAAAAAAAAACAACTTTTTATGTCACTTATCACAAGGATAGTATTTGAATCACATTCTTTCGTATCACTCAGAATATATGTTCCCTTGTAAAGTATGGGTGTTCAACAGAGAGTGATTAATTTTTGGGAAAGAAAATATTTGGAGTAGTAGAAAGCCAAAAACTTTCCCATATTCATAGTCTTTGAATTATTTTCAGGGCATTGAGCGAAAACACATACCACCATATGACAGTAATCTTTTCAAACTAGCGAAAAACAAAATATCAGAAAAATACAAGAGCTTAAAAGATTATAAAGCCATGATAGCTTCTGATGAGAAAATGGTGATGAAGATGTACTGTATATTTACGAGGAAACATCTGCTGCAATATGTTCTTCAAGATCCTGCGGAATGGAAAAGGTAAGTTTTTTATACAAAACCTATCTAGGTTAGGTTAGATCCAAGGTGAGTGGGTCTATTCGAGCCTCCACCGCAAGCTGCAAGAGTTTATTGTGGCTCACACCTATTCTCACTGGGCCAAACAAACTGATTCGGTCCCCAGCGGGGCAGGCACAAAGTATATGCTCTGTTAATGAGGTAGTCAGATAGTCATGTTGCAAGATTCCCACTTTGATACCCACGACAAACTTTCCATATGAGGGTTTTTGCACGTCAGCTACACCTGACGATGTCTTAGATGCAGCCGTACAGGGCTTTTTTGCCTCTGGTTTTGGTGAAATCTCACTTGAGCGCAAACGTTTGCTAACCTGCTCATGGGGGGTTAGTTTCCCCACCTAAGACAGATACTTCGTACGCCGCAGCACTCGCTCCTGAACTAAATTTATAGGGAGGTCAGTTGGAGTCGTTAACTCGACATCCATCTCCTCTGTAGACTCATTCATGAACTGAATTTACAGTGAGGTCCATTGGAGTCGTAAACTCGACATCCATCCATTCTGTAGACTCGCTTCTGAACTAAATTTACAGAGAGATCCGTTGGAGTCGTAAACTCGACATCCATCTTCTCTGTAGACTCGCTCCTGAAATGAATTCACAGGGAGGTCAGTTGGAGTCGTGAACTCGACAACCATCTCCTCTGTAGACTCGCTCCTGAATTAAATTTATAGGGAGGTCAGTTGGAGTCGTAAATTCGACAACCATCACCTCTGTAGACTCGCTCCTGAACTAAATTTTCAGGGAGGTCAGTTGGAGTCGTAAATTCGACAACCATCACCTCTGTAGACTCGCTCCTGAACTAAATTTTCAGGGAGGTCAGTTGGAGTCGAAAACCCGACAACCATCACCTCTGTAGACTCGCTCCTGAACTAAATTTAGAGGGAGGTCAGTTGGAGTCGAAAACTCGACATCCATCTCATCTAGACTCAGCGTCAGAAAAAAAATTTAAGTTTACCCTGTCCATAAAAGTCCCACGAGCAGCTAGGAAAAGAAGGTCAATCACGACAGAGCCCCGCATTACCGTGACAAGGCGATGCTACGACGAGAGGGCGCCCGATATCTCGAAGGTTACGTAGAGACAGCTGATAGGCTCAGTGTCATTCATTCTCTCGACACGGATACATACAGCTTAGGATTAAGCCATCGTTGGGATGCCATTCAGTTAGGGAATAACAGAACCACATGTGACTCTGGTATTCCCGTATCCAGCGGGGTTACGTGGAAGCAGGCATCTGATGGCCCGTTTGTATCATACGATGGTGAAGGGTGAGTTATATCGAATACAATTACACTTTTCTCAACAACTATTTTCACAAAATATTTTCCATTCTTTTCTCTTACGAGTACTACTTAAAACTTTGAATTCAATTGATAGAAATACACAGTTATTAGTTGTGTGAAGAAAAATTTTCTTGAGGGAAATATTAATAAAGAATGATATTTATGTAATTCAATATCCTATCCAACAGGGGGAAAAGATAATGTATATTATTAATAGTTGATGTTAGTGTAAAAGTTGTGAACTCCATTAGAGTCAGATTTTAGACGTATTTTTGCTTTAAAATTCATGAAAGTTTTCATCAATGTCGAGTAAAAAGGCATAGATTTCACTGAGGTGATCAGTATGTGATCTTCTGTGCGGAGGCAATTTTTTTATTGTAATATAAATGACTTTTCCAGGAACAATCTTTTAGATCCATTTCTTTCAGTTGTTGAAATATTTGTTGAATTATGGTCCATTTCATGACCTTCACATCTCTCATGATATGATTTACTATCATGTTTCGATCAAAATTAGTCTATTCAATTCCATGTATAGAATGTAGAAGTGAATATTTTGGACAAACATCAAGATTACTCAAAGATAGAATCAGTTCACTTATATTTATGACATTTATGAACAATCTCAATATCAACATTCAGTTCACACTCGAAATAGAGATAGAGAAACAAATAAATTTCTTATACCTGGCCATTACACACAATCAGAATAAATTCGAGTTCAATGTTTTCAGAAAACCTAGCTATACAGACATCAGCATCCCAAGCAGTCATAAATTAGCAGCCTACAATTTAATGTTGCAAAGAGCATTCTCAGTGCCTTTGTCTGCAGACAATCTAGCTAGAGAAATTGATACAATTACACAGATAGGTCATAATAATGGTTTCAACGCAGATACTATCCAGAAGTTAGTCTGTAGGACTAGTCTGTAGGAAGTAGGAAATTCACAAGCATAAACATTGCGGGTGCAACCTGTTAAATGATGAACTCGATTTAATTTACTCTCCGGTTTTTAAATTGGAACATCCGCATTGTGAACTATAAATTCAGGTACTCATTCAAGTACCTGAATGGTATATATTGGCGAATGTAATGAATCATTGTTAGTTTGTTGTATAAGTGAATGTGAACTGAAGGTGGATGTGTCACGTTTGAGTTATCCAACTGGTTATTATTATCAACTTGAAATAAATAAGATCTTGTTCAAAACAGTATTTGAATAGGTATTATAGATGAATAATTGAAATGAAATGTTTAATTGAAAAAAAATGAAGGATCGTAAGTCTGAAAAATACGATTTTTCATTTGTGTCACCAAATTGATTTTTGTTGACTGCTTGTAGTACGATCAATGGCGAGACTCCATCTTAGGTTAGGTTAGGTCTAAACCCGAAAGGTTTTATTGTGGCTCACACCTATTCACACTCGACTAAATAAACCCAGCTTCTTAACGAAACTAATTAGTTTGTATAGTGAGTGGTATTTCAGGTCAGATGGTAAGAGTACGGCTCTGCAGAACTCTAAAAACCCCGCCTCCAGCGGGGCAGGCACAATGTATATGCTCTGCTGTTTCATCCTTTTCCAAACAGCGACACACACTGTCTTCTGACAGTCCAAGTCTCTGAATATGATGATTCAAATGACAGTGACCTGTAAGAAGGCCTGTTAGACATCGTAGGTTATTCGTATTGTAGTCCAACAACTGTATCAAGCTTCGAAGGGTGACTAAACGCCTTGGAGTGAGCCAATTCTGGAATATTCTGCCATGAATCCATAAATATTCTTTCCATCCAGGTGTTCGCTGTTTGTTTGGCAGAGCCTAACGCGAAAAAGCGATTTCCAACAGTAAATATGGAATAAAATAGTATGATGATGGAATATAGAAATGTATAAAAGTAAATGGTAAAACAAAGTATATATAAAATATACCTATGAGTAGAATTTCGAAAGAGGAATGAAAAATTGAGTATATAAACCATAAAACAGAGCCATACTCTAACTAAGATCTGGCATACACAAAATATAGCAATTTCAAGGTGGCAATACTTTTGAAGTTTTTGCCATTTTTGTAAATGAATCCAAGCATTCTATTTGCATCAGCAGTCATATTCCTTATATGTGTTATAAATGTTAATTTACTATCGTATGTTATACCAAGATCTTCTTTCTCATATACGCGGTTGATTGTAGTTTTGTTGACTGAATAATCGTACATTAAAGTTCGTTTTTTTTGTTGTAAATAATATTATTTTACATTTGAATACGTTCAGTTGTAGACAATTATTATTACACCAAAGTTTGATAACATCTAATTCATGGTGTACACGTTAGCAGTGATGTCGTTTATTTTATAATATAGTTTCAGGTCGTCTGCAAATAGTAGGCTAGGAATATTCAAAGAGGTTACCAAGTCATTAATAAAAATTAAAAGATTCCAAGATTAGAACTTTGTGCCGTGGTACCCCAGATGTAACTACGTACTAACATATTTGACAGATTCATATTCGACGAATTGTTTTTTGTTAACTAGATATGATTCAATTTGAGTAAGCAATTGGTTACAGAGTCCTAATGCTTATGACGATGCCTATGACAGGTTCTGGTCCGATGAAGCTGCTTGCAGCACCCTCTCTGCAAGGAAGCCAGCAGCCTCATTGCCTTCCAGGCCAGTATGGCCAGGAATCCAGATCAGAGACAATCTGTTTCCTATCGAGGAGAGCGTTTTTGACAATTTGCTACCAACCAATTTAAACGTTGCTCGGTTGGAGCCCAGAGCTTCCAATGCCTCTTGACTGTCCGAGAATATTTTTGTTGACTTTTGAGTGAGGTTGGATTTATCCAATCTCTCCGCACATGGAGGCGAGCCCCATCTTAGGCTGCTCGCCATATTGGATTTAGAATAGCGTTACTCAGCTAGTCATGCACTGCAGAAAGAACTGATCCCACATTGAAGTTTCGAAGTTTCTAGTAATATTATTTTTTAAACTTTCAAGATATATGCTTTAAATAATGGAAAAGTGACTCATATGGTTTGAAAGTACAATATTATTTTGCATCCACTGGTTTGGAGGTTACTTACTTTTCATCAGGCTTCATTTCTGAAAATTTTAATTCTTGTGTGAAGAAACTTGAATGACTTATTTTTTATATCTTCAGATTAGAATTCCAGACATTTCCAGTTGATTTCCCAACGATGATCATAAGAGCACCTATTCCTTGGCATACCCAGTACTCCCTGAGTACTCAGCTGATGGAGAAACACTATTATAATGGAAATATAATCGTCAGAAAAATAAGAGATTTGTGGTTTCAGAAGTAAGCACGAACTCGCTCGAAAATGTTTGAAAAACAAAGAATTTCACTATTTATTTCAGATATGACAGTATGTTTATATTACCAATATCAAAACTCTTAGAAACAGATGCTCCATTGGGCGTTTCGAACTTCCAAGAGACAGTTTCACGTATTTGTGATGATTCAAGGGAAATTCTTGAGAAAGAATGGCTTCCATCATGTGCAGATATTTTTTTGGAATATAAGCAACACTGGAAGCAATATATACCGAGACAACCAACTGATAGTGTGGAATTTGTTGAGAGGTTTTTTGATTGTGTGAATATGTTATTATCGATTCAGTTACGTTGGCTGGTTATGAAGAGCCTGGAACATTTCGTGAATCTCTTTCTTAAATTCAAGGTGAGTATTAGTTTATATATATATATATATATGCTGAACTGGTTTCCGGGTTTTTCATTCGTGTGATGTGCTAATATCTTCAATCTAGCGACGTTTTCACAATGTCTCATTTGTCATCCTCTGGCTATTACTGTTACGTGTTCGTAAGGCGACCGACCATACTCGATCTGCTCTCTACTATACTGGTAAAATGATGTTTACGACTTCGGAAGTAGACTGTCCTTACACGCTCTACTACCTAATATATAAATATAGTTGTTGATATTTACCTGACTTCTTCTTCTTGAATTTTGGAGCCATTTTCAAGAATTTGATGATGTTTTATCAATTTAGACATCCTTCACCAATTTTATGTAAATGTACTGTTGAATGAACAATGGTACAATACATTTACATAAAATTGGTAAAGTACGTCTAAATTGTGATCAAATTTTAGACATCTTTCACCAATTTTATGTAAATGTATTGTACCAATGTTCAATCAATACTATGTGCCTAATATTTTACAACCATCATAAAAACATCCTCAACAAAGTGATTAAAATATTTATTTATCTATCGTTTCATTGCATGCATGACTGCATGCAGTCAAGATGGTGCAAAATGATTCCATGAAAAGATAAATAGATCAGTACTATATTGCCTACTCCTCAGGTAGAGAGATGCTTTTAGTATGAACAGGTTGAGACCTCACTGTAGTCATAATGTCTTGAAAATGGCTCCAAAGTCGAAGCCGAAACGTCGCATAACTGAAAACACCAGACACGTTCAAGCCACGTCTGTTTCATATATGTTGATATATAAATGAACAAATCAGTCGCTACTTCAGGTCATCTTGTTTTCGGGCGAGTTGGATTAGAATCCCTGACTTTTTCATCATGATTTGTCTGTATATATATATGGATCTGTATGTTGAATATGGGGCGTGGCCGAGATTTCTCTTGCCGCCTGAGGTATCCTTCTTGGCGGAATAGTGTCCTGGTGAATAGTATTTATGTGGCATCGAGATTGTTATGATCTCACCCCGTGGCAGGGCCTTTGATGCGTTAAGTTTGTCTTGGCTGTGGGGGTCACTAATTTTTGTGGGTTTTACTGCCCTCGCATATGAGACTCCGTTTTTTATCGTGTTTGTTCCTGTCGGCTTTTTTGGTTGAGCTGGCAGGTCTCTGGGTTTGGTGTTTTCCTTTTTGTTTTTGGGATGTTCCGGGCATCCTTGATAATTAGCTGGGTGTTCCCCTTTGCAATTGAAGCATTTCGCCGGGGCTTGCTTCGGCTTTTTACGCTCGGCCGTCAGGTGGCGGCCGGCACATCTTAAACACGCAGGGACTGCTTTGCAGTTTTTTTGCGAGTGTCCAAACTTTTGGCAGCGGTAGCACTGCCCACTGCTGTTCGTGGTCTTCGTGGTTCGCTTTTCACTCTCATCACATTTAAGATTTCCTTGACTTCGTATATATGGCTCTGTTTTCTGGTAACGAGGACCAATACGAGCGGGAGCGGCTTTTTTCTTTTTCTTCTTCTTTTTTTTTCTTCAGTCTGGCTACCGATATAATATCGAAGCCCTTGGCTTTTAGATCGTCTTTGATTTCTTCGGTTTCGAGGAATTTAGGTACCCCTCGGAACACTACTCTCAGGGGTTTTACTTCCTGCATTGTTTAATAGTGATAGGTGGTGGTCTGATTGTTTTTGGACCGCTTGCCTGTACTGTTTTAGGCATCGCAGCCTCCTCCTCTTGTGTTTCGGTTTCCATATCTTCGGATGTATGGTTTTCTTCAAGTTTTTGAGGTTTTGGGACCTTGTTGGCTTGGATGTCTTTGTTTTCAGGGTTATTAGCCCTGAGTTTCTTAGGTTTTCCAGACGGCATTTCTTTTTTTTTTATTTTTGGTACCTCGATTTTTACCTGTGTTTTGGTCTTTTTGTTTGTTTTAGGTTGTTGTAGTTTTTTGGGAGATTCTGTCTCCTCTTCTTCTAGGCTTTCTTCCGAAGAGTAGCCTGACATAGCATGTGTTTGGTCATCTGTCATTTTTTTGTATCCGCAGGATCTTTTCTGCTCTAGTTCCTGTCTTCTCTTTCGCATCAGTATATGCGTCGAAACGAGTTCCTGGGGTGAAACTTCGTATAGGTCTAATAGTTTGGATATCATTGCTATTACCATATCTCTCTTTTCATTGCTCGCATTGAGTACAATGATGTATCAACCGTATCAATGATTGCGTCCATCTTAACATGTTGTCACTTCGTGGGCTCGAGAACAACTATGTCCTCAATCTCCTCCCTCCTCATAGTATGATGTCAGTCGCAACTTCAATAAAAATACATATATTTATACTCGTACACTATTTATATTTTAGATTTTCATGTTCGATTTTAACGAAATTTCATATTTGCAGGAAGGTAACGATTTTATAGGACAGTATCAGGATTTTTCTTTGATAAACCTTCCAATTTTGACATTGGTAGTGAAACCCCATTTGGGGAAAAAAGAATTGACATTCAATCCATCTCTGGAGGCAGTCCAAGAAGTGCTTCATCGATGCTTCAGGAAAATATTGGGAGTCACCTCCAACATAGCTCGAATAGAAATCATAATGTTCCCAGGTAAGTCTCCAGTTCAACAGATGATTTCTGTTATTGAACTTGGAATATTCAATTGTCAAGTATCTCGGAGTACAAATAATTGTCAACGAAAATGGAATCAAATAGAAACAATTAGAAAAATCGGTAAATTGGCGAATTCATCTTTGATAATACATTTTTCTCGTGAGAATTCATCTGATTGAAGGTGTAATAAATTCTCTCTAAAAAAAATTTCTGGTCGAGGCGGGAATCGAACACACGACCTTCCGATCGTGAGTCGGACGCACTACCACCGCGGCCAATTCCGCAACTTACATTCTATAGAAAGTTTCGACAAAGGAAATAAACAGTTGGGAAAGCTTGACTAAAACAAGGACATTGTTTAAATCAGGTTGACCAGACTGCAACCCAAATATTATCACAAAAAATAAATGAATCGGACACTACTTTTTTCTATTCAGTTTGTACTCCCAAACATTCGTTATGGAATTGAAGCAGATATCATACACAGGCTTGCTACACAATATAGTATATGGCGGACATCATATGATTTGGAATAAGACAATTTGGATAACATTACAAGATGGAGCACCCAATTCATTCACAAAATTACGACTCAAGTGGCGAATGAGTTGAGTCTATACTCATGTCATCGATGACAGTACGTAGTGACATTCAGTCGCTTATTTGATTAAATCCCAATAATATGACCCTTGATTGAATTGAAAAGAGTATATTTTCAGGAGGGATTATTTTTAGAAAAAGAAGGTTTTGACTTTCTACTTCACCATCTTTATACAAAAAAGTTGTGGGAATCTTGCAAAGAAAAGAAGAAAGCAATCAATTTCAAAATA